TATTTTAACCAAAAAAATAAACATGGATGATGTATCCAGGAATGAAACTTTCATACTTGCTTTGGATTCTGAATTTAATCTACACTGAACCAAACTTCTAAGTGTTCACCCAAGGTTTTCTTAGTTTTAATGAACAAAGAAAAACACTAAGTAATTTCTTTAATTCATAGTTAATGATACTTATTTCATTGTCATGATACATAAACTTCATGTAAATTAGTCGTCATACTACTCAGCAATGAGTCTAGAAAATGGTGTACCCTCTGAATGGAAATTCACAGAAATCAATCAATATGGAGTATGACCACCTCTCGCCCTAATCACAGCAAGACATCGCTTTCTCATTGATACAATGTATCTCTGAATAGTTGGCTGACGTATCTGCTGCCAAACCTGCTGAACAGATCTTTCTAATGCGTTGATGTCGTGCGGAGGGGGGAGAGCTTTCACATTTCTTTTGATCAAGTCCCAATTGTGTTCTATCGGATTTAGATCCGGGGATTTTGCAGGCCAGGGCATCACACGGATGTTGTTTATTGCCAGAAATTGTTGGGTTGTTCTAGCGCTATGACAGGGGGCATTATCCTGTGCCAAAACCATGCGTCTGTTTCTTGCAACATGCGGGACAAGAACCGGTCTCAGGATGTCATTTTGATACCTCGCTGCTGTTAGACCGCCGTTAACACGAATGATTGGAGTTTTCGTGTGCATTGACACTCCTTCCCATACCATAAGATTACCACCACCACCAAATCTGTCCATCTCCTCAACACAGGCCGCACTGTGACGTCCTCCTCGCCAGCGGTACACTCTTTTTCCTGCCATCAGCACTTCGTAGCTTTATTTTGGTTTCATCCACAAATAAAACATTTGCTCAGTCAGCTCTAGTAAGTCTGAGGTGTCTTCTCGCCCATGCAAGACGTGCAATTTGATGCCGTCGGGTTAATACCAAAACCCTCCTTGGACGTCTTGCACGTAAGTGTACCTCTTTGAGGCGGTTTCGCACTGTCTGGGGTGATATTGGTCGACCATGGGTACCATTTGTTTGTCTTGTAGTTAAAGTTGCAGGCTTAAATCTATCTCTTAAGTGGTTGAGAACCATGCAACGATCCTGAAACCTTGTTGTGACGCGAGATCTTGGCCTTCGACGAAGATCCTGAACACTTCCGGTTTGGTTGAATTTGGCCCAAAGCTTGCGAATTGCTGTAAGTTGTCGGTGAAAATGACGCGCAACCTGCTGTAAAAATGGGTAAAAATGACATTTGATACTGGTTGTCAATTTTTACAGATGACATCGAGCTAAAAAAACATCAGATTAAAAATGAGTATTACCTGTCGTAAGGACGATCCTGATACCAGCATTCCAACGGCTATTGCTCTTTCCTCAATGGACATTCTGCCCATGTTTCATGTTTTTTTCATTCAAACACTCGTTGAAGATTGACAATGGTAAAAAAATTTACCCGATTTCAAGAAACACGTGCTGCGACGAGCCGTTTTCTTGTTTTTTAACTTCGTCACGGTACATTGATTTTCTCATGTGATATTCGATTTTCTTTTATCGATTGTTAAGGAGATACATTGGTTACAAAATATTGAAAATTTCAATCCATTCTATGATGTATTTTTTATATAATTACATTTATTAGGGTTAACACTAAGAAGTTTTGTTAAGTGTACATTTTCCAGATGAGTGACCAGGGTAATGTTTTATGAATAGGTTCATAATATGACCTGTTCTGAATAAATGTGCATAAGTGGTGCATATAAGGATGAAAACTTCCATATTTGTTGTATATGTTGGAATTAACCAAAATTTTCTTGATATTAAAAGTAAACAGGTTAAAAAATGTTTAAACAGGCCTTTTAAGTAACTATAAGTTCTACTTGATTCATACTTGTATTGATATTGATGTTGAGATATACACTAACCAGAAAAAAAAAGATTGTTTGGAACATGTTGTTTAATGATTTTATTTTGATGCTTCTTACCATTTGTATTTCTTTGGTATTTCTATTTTGTTTGTTCAGGAGTGTCCTTGGAAACTATATTTATCAGAATAAGATGAATAATACTTGCTTTAGATCTTGAATCTTGCCTACATTTTCCAGATGAGTGACCAGGGTAATGTATATGCCCTGCGACGAATATGGCCGGGGCATATAGTGTTTGTCATGTTTATCTTCTGTCATTCCGTTGCACATTACATTTAGGTCTGTTCAAAGCCCAGTTTCAAAGAAACTATTCAAGATATTTTTATCAAACTTCATTTGATGATAGATATTGATAAGAGCTATGCATCTGCATCATCATTTTTTTTTTACCTTGACCTTTGACCATGACCTTATTTTTATAAACTTGTGTTTAGTTCAGTTGTTAGGAAACCATTTATTGGTAATTATTTTAATGAAACTTTAATGTGGAAACATACTGATTGGGGCTATTGAATTGCATCAACACTTTTGACTTTGACCTTTCTTTCACTTTGACCTCACTTTTTGTGTTTAGCTCAGTTTAAAAAAAAAACATTCAGGATAGTGATGTCAAATTTTAGATGATGATTAACATACAATGAGAGCAATTAAATTGCATCTACATTTTTTGATCTCAACCATGCCTTTGACCTTGACTTCGCTTTTCTGAGATTGGTATTTAGCTTGGTTTTAAGAAACCCATTCAAGATAATTTTATCAAACACCATGATGTTAGATTTTGTTGAGAGCTATGCATCTGCATCATCTTTTCAACCATGACCTTTCTTATGACATATTTTTTCTTGAAAAGTGTTTAGCTCAGTTTTAAAGAAACCATTCACTTCTTCGTGTTTAAATATAGAAATAAAAGATTATTTATAATATCCTAAATTAGAAGTGATATTTGGACGAGGCTAAGAAAATGTGATGGAAGGTGAGGCTTGTCCAACCTACTGAATTTTCTGCTCAAGTGTTTTGTTTATCCTGCAGCATTCATAAAGATGCAATAAGTATGGAGTTGTGTGTCAACACTTTTTGACCTGATTGACTATTTATGTAATAAATTTAACATTTTATGTTTGAATTAGGATTCATATATTGTAGGGAAATGACATGTTTATAAAATAAGGAATCTTAATTGAAAACAAGTCAGACAAGTTTGCATATGCAAAGAGACATATTTTTAATTTGATATCAGAACTTCAACTCTCAACGCAAGTCCTATCCTAGGCCCAAATTTAATTATGCCCTACGATCAGTAGATGCGTATATTGTTTTTGTCCATTCAGTTTGTCTGTTGTCAAAGTTCTTTAACCTTCACCACAACTTTTGAACCATGAGAGATAGAGACTTCATATTTATTATGCATACTCCATCAATAAAGCTCTTTTAAATGACAACCAAGTCAATGACCTTGTGACATTGACTGTGACCTATATGCTAAAAATAGTTTTTTTTTTCACTTTCACCGTAACTTTTGAACCATTAAAGGTAGAGACTTTATATTTGGTATGCATACTCCACTAATAAAGTTCTTCCTAATGACACCAAGGTCATGACCTTGTGACCTTGACTGACCTATATGCTAGAATAGCTTTAGAACTTTTACCACAACTTTTGAGCCATGAGAGATAGAGATTTCATATTTGGTATGCTTACTTCACTGATTACATTCTTTCAAATGACACTAAGGTCAATGACCTTGTGACGTTTACTGTGACTTATCTACTAAAAATATTTTTTTGAAGTTTGTTGCCGCCGGGCGAATAGTGTTTTATTTTGGAGATATAATTGAAAAATACGTATTTCTGAAGGGATAGTAATACTGATTGAATTTTTTGTATATTTTGAAGAAATTGGATGATGCCTCGCAAAAAGAACTGGAGGATGGGACTGGTGAAGATGGGGAACCAGAGTCGTGGTAGAAGTGACAATAGACTCGTGGATACTAGCCACGTAAAAAATAGTACGAAAGACCCAACAATTGACGCAACAATTGACGGACCTTTGAAACTCGTGGAAGCTAGCCACGTAAAAAATAGTGCTAAAGACAGGGGGGATACTGCCTGCTTAAAAAGAGTACTAGATTTGCCTTCGGGCGCCAGATACAGTGCAAATTCGCCTTCGGGCACCAGAAACAGTGCAAATTCGCCTTCGGGCACCAGTATCATTGCAAATTTGCCTTCGGACACTATGAACTCTGCCAATATGCCTTTGGATACTACATGTATTAACAATGCAAATTTGTCTTCTGGGTCTCTAAACTATACCTGTTTACCTTCGAAACTTGTAAATTCAACAGTTTGCCACTTCATTCTATGACATCTAACAATGTGGCATTTTATTCCAAGGATACTGATAATTTTTCTTTAGATTTAAAAAAAAGCAAGCGAAAGTTTCTCTTGCCCTGAACAAGCTTCATGTTTGTCTTTCATTGAGAAAAATTTGCCTGTGACAAAATTATTTGCAACAATTAATCAAGCTATTAATTTATTTCCACCTTTCTCAAGAGGAGTTCAGTGCACATGCAATGCTTTGATGTCGATCATTTTGAAAAGTGCGTCTACTTCAGCAGAACTAGATGAAGTTCTCTTTGCTGCGGATGATTTATATCGAGTCAGAATTGCAGAATTACAGTCAACTGTTCAAATTGTATCAAAATGCTACAATTTCAAGAACTTCCCAATTTTGTTTTTGTGAACGATAACCAGTATGAAATATGCTATCATGAAGAGATCTAGGGAACAGTAACTCACATTGATTGGGACAATTCATGCCAAAGTAATAATTTGAAGACAGGTATTGAGCTACTCTTTAGACTATTCAATCAAGGATTAATTATAGTTGGAGGACTTTGCTCAGCAATATATGTCAATGACAAGAACTGTCCTGTATTTTTTGATTCGTATTCACATGGAGAGGACGGTCTTTCATCTGCAGATGGTAAGGCTATTAAAATCACTTTTAGTGATATCGATCAACTTGTGGACTACATGTTTGCATTTTATCAAAGTTGCAATATTTCAATGACAAGCCAGTTTGAGATTCAGCCAGTGTCTGTAACACAAATAACAAGTGTATCTAATGCGGGAAGCAAACGACCTTCTTTAATTGATAAGTACTTTGACTTCCAAGAGAATATGTCAAAAAAATGTAACACTTCTGATTCACCTCAAGAAAATCGAAATGAATATATGAGAAATTATATGCGAAAAAGAAGAGAAAACTCGCTGATAAAACAGAAGGACAGGGAAAGTAACCTTAGAAGTATGACTAAAGCAAGGCAGAGTAAAGAATTTAAAGAGAAAGAACTTACCTCAAAAAAAATTGTCAGAGAAAATCCAGAGAGAAAGCAGAAGGACAGAGAAAGTAACCTTAGAAGTATGACCAAAGCAAGGAAGAGTAAAGAATTTAGAGAGAAAGAACTTGCCTCCAAACAAAAAAACAGAGAAAATTTTCAGACAAAACAGAAGGACAGAGAAAGTACATTACAAAGTATGACCAAAGCAAGACAAAGTAAAGAATTTAAAGAGAAAGAACTTGCTTCCAAACAAAAAAACAGAGAAAATTCTGAGACAAAACAGAAGGACAGAGAAAGTACATTAAAAAGTAAAACTAAAGCAAGACAAAGTAAAGAATTTAAAGAGAAAGAACTTGCTTGCAAAAAGAAAAGTAGAGAAAATTCAAAGACAAAGCAGAAGGACAGAGAAAGTACTTTAAAAAGTAAAACTAAATCAAGACAGAGTACAGAATTCTGTTTAAAGGAAAGAGAAGCAAAGAAAAGGAAAAGAAACAATGTAGAGCAGTTGGAGAAGGAACATTTTCAGCTTCTTCTCTGAAACTACTAAACCAATTTTAGCCAGTTTTGGCACAAAGCATCTATGGGTAAAGGGAAACAAAAATTGTGATTTTCATGGCCCCTGCCCTCCTGGGGCCTGAGGAGCTGGGCCAAAACCACTAAAATTAATGCAATCTTTAAAAATCTTCTTCTTTACTCCTGGACATCAAGCAGTCAAACTGTTGGCATAATTTTAATCAGCATAGGGCCCTTTACCAAAATTGTGAAATCCATGGCCCCAGGGTCAGGGGTTCTTACTTAGGGCGGGCTTTGTTGATCATATAGTGAAAATGTAAAATTCTTTAGAAATCTTCTTCTTTCCCCCTGTAAATAAAACAGATAAACTAGGTGCATGGTAATGATGACCAAGGGTGCCTCTTTCAAAATTGTGAAATTTGTGGCCCCAGGGTGAAGGGTTTTGGGGTGGGGGTTTGTCTTGATTATATAGGGAAAGTGCGTTACTATAGATAACTCATTATATATGGAAAGTGCGTTACTATAGATAACTCTTTTACTTCTGAAAATTATAGGCAGTCAAACACTTTGCATGAGTATGATTAAGCTTATAATAATCAATAAGCCCTAAACATTTTAAAATGCCTAACCTCTGGGTTTGGGGATAGTGTCCCCAGGGTGTGTTTAGTTCCATGATAGTATGAAATAAAGCATGGTGCATTGAAAATCTTTATAGTAAATTACCTATTAGAATTAGTATTAGAATACCTATTAGAATATGCACTAGAATGTCTGTAATAATGTTTATAAACAGTGTATGAAATTCAATCATGCACCCAAGAGAGATTTTTCAACCGATTTTAGTATTCCGGAAATATAGTTGCGACGCCGATACATTTTGTGATTTAGAATATTTCACGCATGCGTATACCTGTAATCGGCCTCTCAGCGTCTTCCGGCAACTCAGAAGAGTCTTCGGAGAAAGCTAAGCGTCATTATACGATTTAATTTGTGTTTTTCTTAGGTTCAACAGTTTGCATTGCGAACGGTGGGTATGATTATTTGTAGTTATTAAGTTTAAACAGCATGGAATGTGAAGTGCTTTTGCGAATTCGATTTCTCGGTAATCGTTTTTGAGGTGACATAATTTTAGACTGTGATAAAGGATTGCCGGTTCGAGCAATTTATATATGTAACAAAAAATTATTTTTACTGGGTATTTAATATGTTGTTTTTGTATTTATGTCGAAAATGTGCCTGAAATTGAAACGTGATGAAATATTTAGTCATTTACAATCATTCGAACGGTACCTAGTGTCGTGAAAATGGCACTTACTGAAAGTGAAAACGGCACTTAGTATATGCAAAACGGCACTTTTTGTGACTTGTACGTGTATTAATATTCTGTATGTAAGCTTGCATTGTAGCTGTGTAATAGGAATGATTCAGAGTTAAACAAGACTTACCATTTAATCCCCATTAACTGCCCCTGCCTCTATAACTATAAGCAAGTCTGGTACAATCACTAGATTTAGCTATGTAGCTTGATTTATCTACTTAGCTTTTTTTAACTACCTGAGGTAGCTTTACTTAGCTACCAAATCAATTTATTTTTATAAAAAAGCCTTTTTCTCAGGGTGTGCAGAAAATATAATTTTGATGCAGTGTCAGCAGTGATCATTTTCAACGTTGAACATGAAAAAATCATTCTTGAGGAAATGTCTATTTCTGAGCAATTGCAATCAAAGTTCTGAAAGTTTTGGAGCTATGTATGACAGTTAGAACAGTTACTCCTTGAATGAAATGACAAAGAAGTCCAGTTCAGGTTAACACAATAATAGGTCGGTAATTATTCAGCACAATGTGAAGTGATCATACTCAGCCATGCCTCACCGCACGCATGAGAGAGGACAGTTAACTAAACAATGGAATTACATGTTTTGCTCTAAATTGTCAAAACGCAGCGATGTATAAATTATCTCTGCTCTGGATCGTATTTTAAAACCTTCTTAGAATAAATATTAATGGCCATTTAATTACGATTATTTTGTCTCTTTTAAATAAAAGGAACAACTTTGAAAAGTTGCATTGAAATAGCCAAATAAAGCTACCTGAGGTAGGTAAATACTGTATACAGGGAAATTTTCGCCCCCGGTTTATTTTCGCCCTCTTCCTGATTGGGCGAATTTAAAACGGTGCAAATTGAAATTACACAGCATAATTTCTAAAACAAAACTTAGACTGGGCGAATTTAAAACGGGGCAAAATAATTCGCAAGTGCAAAAGGGCGAAAATAACACGGGGTGAAAATAACCCTGTATACAGTAACGCTACGTAGGTAATTCTACCTACGTAGCTAAATCTAGTGATTGTACTGGACCTGATAAGCACCCCTAGGTCTTTTCAATTGTCTGGAAATAAGGGTCCCCTGTAATGTGATTAAAATTATCTAGAAGCATATCAAAAATCTGCCAACATTTGAAGCAAATGAAATAGAAATTTCTCTATTATCCAATTTTTCGGTTAAGAATGATCAGTTTAACATAATTTAGGTAGATTATCTTCACGTAAAGTAAAGTTAAAAATTATTTTAGTTGTTCTTTTAATTATATTTGGAGAATTGAGAGCCCTGTTTTTGCTCAAAAGTTTTCAAAACTTAAAATATGACATTAAATATTATGAGGATACCAAAAAAAACCGCCCCTTTATCACAATTTCCTTAGTGCCCAGGATGGTTAATAGGATTTATACGGTATATGCATATTCTTCTTTATCTGAAATTTTAAAAGTTTGTTTAAAGCTTGCAAAACATTGTGCAACTGTACAATTCTTAATATCATTAAAAAGGCTATGTAATGACTATGTAAAAGTGCAATATTATAGCATATTCAGTGTCGGTGAAGCAAGATGGATTTTGCAAAAATATTGCAAATACCTGGTAGGGGACATTATTGTCCATGTAACATTTTACTTTGGATGCTGGATCTGACCTTTATTTTCCATATGAATGAATTCAAACAATATTTTAACCAAAAAAATAAACATGGATGATGTATCCAGGAATGAAACTTTCATACTTGCTTTGGATTCTGAATTTAATCTACACTGAACCAAACTTCTAAGTGTTCACCCAAGGTTTTCTTAGTTTTAATGAACAAAGAAAAACACTAAGTAATTTCTTTAATTCATAGTTAATGATACTTATTTCATTGTCATGATACATAAACTTCATGTAAATTAGTCGTCATACTACTCAGCAATGAGTCTAGAAAATGGTGTACCCTCTGAATGGAAATTCACAGAAATCAATCAATATGGAGTATGACCACCTCTCGCCCTAATCACAGCAAGACATCGCTTTCTCATTGATACAATGTATCTCTGAATAGTTGGCTGACGTATCTGCTGCCAAACCTGCTGAACAGATCTTTCTAATGCGTTGATGTCGTGCGGAGGGGGGAGAGCTTTCACATTTCTTTTGATCAAGTCCCAATTGTGTTCTATCGGATTTAGATCCGGGGATTTTGCAGGCCAGGGCATCACACGGATGTTGTTTATTGCCAGAAATTGTTGGGTTGTTCTAGCGCTATGACAGGGGGCATTATCCTGTGCCAAAACCATGCGTCTGTTTCTTGCAACATGCGGGACAAGAACCGGTCTCAGGATGTCATTTTGATACCTCGCTGCTGTTAGACCGCCGTTAACACGAATGATTGGAGTTTTCGTGTGCATTGACACTCCTTCCCATACCATAAGATTACCACCACCACCAAATCTGTCCATCTCCTCAACACAGGCCGCACTGTGACGTCCTCCTCGCCAGCGGTACACTCTTTTTCCTGCCATCAGCACTTCGTAGCTTTATTTTGGTTTCATCCACAAATAAAACATTTGCTCAGTCAGCTCTAGTAAGTCTGAGGTGTCTTCTCGCCCATGCAAGACGTGCAATTTGATGCCGTCGGGTTAATACCAAAACCCTCCTTGGACGTCTTGCACGTAAGTGTACCTCTTTGAGGCGGTTTCGCACTGTCTGGGGTGATATTGGTCGACCATGGGTACCATTTGTTTGTCTTGTAGTTAAAGTTGCAGGCTTAAATCTATCTCTTAAGTGGTTGAGAACCATGCAACGATCCTGAAACCTTGTTGTGACGCGAGATCTTGGCCTTCGACGAAGATCCTGAACACTTCCGGTTTGGTTGAATTTGGCCCAAAGCTTGCGAATTGCTGTAAGTTGTCGGTGAAAATGACGCGCAACCTGCTGTAAAAATGGGTAAAAATGACATTTGATACTGGTTGTCAATTTTTACAGATGACATCGAGCTAAAAAAACATCAGATTAAAAATGAGTATTACCTGTCGTAAGGACGATCCTGATACCAGCATTCCAACGGCTATTGCTCTTTCCTCAATGGACATTCTGCCCATGTTTCATGTTTTTTTCATTCAAACACTCGTTGAAGATTGACAATGGTAAAAAAATTTACCCGATTTCAAGAAACACGTGCTGCGACGAGCCGTTTTCTTGTTTTTTAACTTCGTCACGGTACATTGATTTTCTCATGTGATATTCGATTTTCTTTTATCGATTGTTAAGGAGATACATTGGTTACAAAATATTGAAAATTTCAATCCATTCTATGATGTATTTTTTATATAATTACATTTATTAGGGTTAACACTAAGAAGTTTTGTTAAGTGTACATTTTCCAGATGAGTGACCAGGGTAATGTTTTATGAATAGGTTCATAATATGACCTGTTCTGAATAAATGTGCATAAGTGGTGCATATAAGGATGAAAACTTCCATATTTGTTGTATATGTTGGAATTAACCAAAATTTTCTTGATATTAAAAGTAAACAGGTTAAAAAATGTTTAAACAGGCCTTTTAAGTAACTATAAGTTCTACTTGATTCATACTTGTATTGATATTGATGTTGAGATATACACTAACCAGAAAAAAAAAGATTGTTTGGAACATGTTGTTTAATGATTTTATTTTGATGCTTCTTACCATTTGTATTTCTTTGGTATTTCTATTTTGTTTGTTCAGGAGTGTCCTTGGAA